GAGAGGGAGAGGAGGAGAGAGGGAGAGAGAGGAGGGGGGAGACGGGAGAGGTGGAAGGGCAATGATGGGGAGAGGGGAGTGAGGGAGGAAGGGGAGTGGGAGGGAAGGAGAGAGGAGAGAGGAGAGAGGGGGAGAGGGGGAGGGAGAGAGGGGGAGAGAGGGAGAAGGGGAGGAGAGGAGAGAGTAAGAGGAGGAGAGAGAGAGAGAGAGAGAGAGGAGACGAGGGAGAGAGAGAGAGAAGAAGAGAGAGAGAGAGAGAGAGAGATGAGAAGAGAGAGAGAGAGAGAGAGAGAGAGAGAGAGAGAGAGAGAGAGAAGAGAGAGAGAGAGAGATAGAGAACGAGAGGGGGGAGGCAAGCGAGAGCCAGGAGGTGGGGAGCAAGGAGGGAGGGAGGCAGAGAGACGAAGAGAGTGAGACTGAGAGAGAGAGAGAGACGAGAGGAGAGAGGGAGTCGAGAGAGGGAGAGAGAGGGAAAGGACTGAGAGGAGGGAGAAACGACGAAGACTCCCCGACTCCCTGCTGTGGATTCCTCGTGGGTAGACAATAGAGAAGGGCTTCACCCGCATGTGGGGAACTCCCTAATACCCCTGAGACCGTTTAGCGCGTTGATCCCGCGTCGAACCACCAAGCCTGACGGTCGTACGCGTGGCCGCTCGAGGGCGTGTACCCTCATCGGCCGCGACAAAGAAACGCCCCTCCGTCCGTCATCTCGTTCCCTCGCTACGATCCCTGTCCTCGGGCCGAGAGCCCCTGGCCGCCTACGCCCGATTCTCGGAGGGTCTCGTAAAAGCCCGTCAATCGCGGCTTGTTTTGTGAGACAACTGCCTACTGATCACACGAGGCATCCAGCTCTTGCGGTGACGTTAGAGGAGAAGAGATGGAGAGAGAGAATGAGAGAGAGAGAAGAGAGAGAGAGAAGAGAGAGAGAGAGAGAGAGAGAGAGGAGGGGGGGGGGAAGACGGAGAGGTGGGAGGCAAGAGGGAGGGAGGCAAGAGGAGAGGCAGGGGAGGGAGAGGAGGAGAGGAGAGAGGAGAGAGAGAGAGAGAGAGAGAGAGAGAGAGAGAGAGAGAGAGAGAGAGAGAGGAGAGAGAGAGAGAGAGAGAGAGAGAGAGAGAGAGAGAGAGAGAGAGAGAGAATGCACAAAGAGTAGAGCGCACTTTCTTCTTATTTCCTCCTTCCCCACCCGCCTCTCCACCCCGTTCACCAAAGCGGATTTTAACTAAACAGAAGAGAAAGGCTTACTTCGGCTCCACCGCCACGCACCAGCAAGGCTTCCTCACGGCGACTCGAAGAGTAATGGCTGATCACAAAATTGTCATAAAAGTTTCGCCCTATTTCAGAAAACGAGGTTACCATTTGGGGATATATATTCTTTTCCGCTTCCCTTTCGTTCTCTTTTTCTGACTTTTTCCTTTTTTCTCGTGTCTTTTGTACTCGTTTGTTTTCTTACCTCTTTTTATGTTTTTAGAAAATAGTCACTCTCCATTGGTCTCTACCCCTTGAGTATTGGGAAAAGGAGAAGGAGAGATGGAGACAGGGAAAGAGAGAGAGAGGATAGGAGAGGAGAGGAGAGGATAGGAGAGGAGAGGAGGAGAGGAGAGAGAAAGGAAGAGAGGGAGGCACAGTGGAAGGAGATAGGAGAGAGAGAGAGCAAGATGTTGATTCCTCCTATGTGGGGCTGATGGGCTCTTTGAGGATAAAAGAGTATAACACACAAATAAATAAACACGCGATTACGTGAACTGTGATGGTGCTTGAGCTAGTCTAGCGCCCAGAGGGGCTCCCCGGGGGAGGGAAAGCGCCTGGCAGTGTTCACGGCGTGGCTGCGGGGCACGTTCTGGCAGGTCATCCTGGGTCACCCTCATTTCATACTGGTATTCCGTCAGGGGCGCTCGTGTCGAAACCCACGCGGGCAAACGCACAACCCACGTGAAGCCTCTTGGCCACTTGGCGCCAGGCTATTGGCTTGCACATAATTATGCTTATATGCCCGCCAGAGAGAGAGTAAAATTGTACCGTCAGACATCATCATTATTCATTAGCAATTAATTCCGTGGGGAAATGAAGGCTCTTCCACCACACGAAACATTTCGCCTCGACAAGTCTCGCTTCAAGAAGCCCTCGTCTGAGCTGCCTTCGCTCGGCCCTTGCTGGCTCCTCCTTTTAGCCTCCGTCCCTTGTTCTCGCTGCTGTCTTTTCTCATTTTCTGGTGCTCTCAATCTTTCAATTTTTACCTACTTATAAAGAATGCTGAGTTTCACATAGTTTACTTAAAGACTTAATTTGCTCAGCAGATTAGATAAATATGACTGCAGTATAATTCATGCAACTAGCAGTTATAAACACTAATTTATTCATGTCCATTCGTACACATTTTCCCGTTCGAAAACATTTATTAATGTACAATCCATATTAACGTATTGTATGAAACATCAAATCGAAAATCTGGTGAAAATTATTCTTTTCAAAATGGGTAAACGTACCCAGAACTTTTTCAGAACTGAACGTATGAACTTAGAAATATAGGAGCATTGTATTTGTGTAAAAAATAAGTGGGAGGAATGCAAAGTGGAGCTAAGTATCTCCGAACAAAAGGATGCGACTGCAACTGCTGCACATGGGTCGCAGTAACTCAAAACAGCAAGATTTGTATTTGTGTGAGAAGTTAGAGTAGTTACAGCTACCGAAATGAATTCGGGAGCGGCCGAAGAGCAACTCCAGTAACAGCACAGAGCAAGAGCCAGCCCTAATGGAGGAGCCGAAGAATGGAGGAGGAACCGAGGACAAAGAAGGATATGGAAGGAATAAGCTCACACTCAGAAAAATAGAAGACAAGACAAGTTGCAAACGGACGTCGAAAAATCTGTTTCAGGCTCTCACAGGTAATGTCACCAAAACAATTTTACAAAATGCGTGGCTTGCTTGACTGTAGAAACGGTAGCCAAACCTGTCAATAATTCCTCATTTTACGTGAAGAAAAACATGCAAGGAAAATCAGTTACAAGAAAAATACTGGAATCCTGAAGAATTTGATGAAAGAGCAGGAAAAGTTGATCTGGATAATCTCCTCGACGAAAGAAGGAAAAGGAGGGACCACTTTCCGATAACTTGATGAGCAATGTTTACCAGAAATGTCTACATTATCAAACGAGTCAGGACCTGGCCAGCGAGCGGAGTATAGAACACATTCTCAGAAGGGGGGGGCACCCTCAGCGGAGGCGTATCAGGACGTTTGTATGGAGATTTGTGTGCATCTTTTTTTATAAAAATCGCAAGGAAGGCGGCCGTGGATGCCGATATGATTGTCATGCTTACAGGGAACACGGCGTCAGGATCATGCACGTCAGTATGGTGTTGCTTGATTCGAGTCTGGAAAAAGAAGTTTTCTTTGTATCGTCTGGTTGAAATAAGATGTGTAGTGATCTCAACTTCAGTGATTAAATTTGTACTGGATTCATGTATTGTATAAGTATATGATCGGTAATATCATGTCTTCTTGAAAATCCCACTAAATGAAGTTACTCGGGATAATAAGCCTTCCAACTGATGTAACAGTCCATGCTTTGTATTTGAAAGAGCCATGATAATCCCTTCCGAATATTGAGGGGCAGAATAAGACTGGGTCTAGAGCAGGGGCTTCAACTACTCGTGGCCGATTCGCAATTTCACGCGGGCATGTTTGTTTTGAAACAAACTGATGGACATGAAAATGGGCGGCAGCATGCTACACACTCTTACAATTACGCCGAAGAGCCTGCCAATCCATCGGTGCGACATATTCAAAAGGATTTATCACACTTATTGACGCTCATCGTTGATTCGACACAAACCGAGTGTTGCAGAGTCCGATGGGGGAGCATATCCCTTAGCGACTATGGCCAACGCTATATGCAATGGAAACTGCAGACTTACAAAGAAAAGCTACATGGGAAAATATTCACAGCAGTGTCTTATTTGTACCTGAACAATGGAAGTTTTGAAACATTCTGACACTAGCGTACGGGAACGGTTTCTCTCTCTCTCTCTCTCTCTCTCTCTCTCTCTCTCTCTCTCTCTCTCTCTCTCTCTCTCTCTCTCTCTCTCTCTCTCTCTCTCTCTCTCTCTTACACACATATATGTGCATGCGTGTGTCTTATTTCTCATTTCCCTTCTCTAAGGATAAGGATAAGTCCGATATGCGAACCTGAGCCTCGCCCGGGCTATGGGGGAGCCCGGCCTGTGCCGACTAATGTCGACTCGATCAACGTGTGTCAGCGAGTGCTGACGCAACAGAGCTTAGTCCTTACCCACCGTGGTGCCCGGCCACAGCAGTAACCTCTGAGCGACAATTGCAACTTCTCGCGCCTGGGCGCGAATCGCCGACCCCTCGGATGAGAGGACGGCACGTTACCACTGTACTAGCCTGGAGGCTTACCCTTCTCTCCCATTCTTTTTATGCTTATTACATTACCTTCCCTCATCCCCACATCCCCCCCCCTCTTCCCTCTCCTCTCTGGCCTCTCACCGACGGCACCTCCCCCGTTTTCCATTCCCGCCTCCTCCCCCCCCTCGCTTCTTCCTCCCGATCCCGAGGTCCCCAAGAGGCCAAGTCAGGCTGCCTTTATTCACAAGCTTGAGGTTACAAAACAGTCAGATCAAGCTGCCCTTTACAAGCTCGAGGACCCAAAGAAGCTGTCTGTATTCAAGAACTTGAAGCTGAGAGGAAGCCAGATAAGCAGTCTTTACTCATAAGCTTCAGATCACAAAGAAGGCAAGTCAAGCCGTCTTCTTCTCGCCAACAGAGCAAGATAATCAGTCACTCAGGCGTCCGTTCTGCCTGCGCACGCCAAAGCTGTCAGCCTAATAATGGCAATTAGTCTAGTCCGTCAGCACACGCGACGCTGGGTCATTAGTGCTGCAGATAACGGGGTCGGCGGCGAAAAAGAGGTCAACAGTCACCAGTTTGAGAGTGGGAATTAGGGGAGTGGTGTGTTGGGGAAATGAAGTGAGATTGGGGTGAAGTTGCTATACTCGTTCCGTGTATTAGCTTGTAAATACACATATTACAATTCCACCAGAAAATAAGTCGGGCGCATAATCATATATATTCATCAATCGCTGATTTTTTTCCCAAATGAATTACTAATAACCTGCGTCCGTAAATTATTTTGTGTTGGCATTGGCGGTGTGTCAACACGCCCAAGCATCCACGCAGGACGAACGCTTTGTTTCATCCAGTTCCCGTAAACCGCGCTTCCATTCTCTACCGGCAAGTTCTCAGTGCGGAGAGAATACCCACAGTGAAACCGGCGTCGACGGAGTTTTATCCCGACTCTTAGCAAAGTCCTTTTACGTCAAGACACATCCAACACTGTGGCATTCCCTCAGTGTATCACGTGTTTGCCCTAAACTCAAAATCTGCCCTAAATCCAGATTTCCTCTTCATGCTCTCACGTCTCCATTCTTCTCCCTCTCACGTGCCATATTCTAATCATGTCTTTTCTATCAACGGAATCCTTCCCCAGTCGAACCCTCGTTGCTTCCCTCCCACTTCCTCCCAATCTTCCAGAAATGTGTCTAGCCTCACGAAAGACACCCGCCCGTGTGAACAAGTCTCTAAAAGTTCGCACTCATTACCATACCCCGCCAGCTTAACTACATCTAAGTGACTTAAACTTCATCCAATTTCGATAAACCTAATTTACCGTAATGCATCGGGAAGCCTCAACAAAGGCCCGCAGAGGAGCGACGCGAGTCCTGCGTTCATCGACTCAACGCTGCTCAACAGACTCGGACCGCGCGAAGGCAACGGCAATGTGATCGGGCCAGACGAAGTCAAGCTGATGAAAGAAAATCGTCACATTTGTTCAGTGACATATTCATTCTACGT